CGGTGTATATATAAATGTTATTATATATATATTTATATAATTATTTGTATTTTATTGTATACCATTAATATTTCCACCATTGAATAAATGTCTTGAATTGAATTGAATTGAATAGAAAAGAGATTTTACAGACTAAGTGTTTTTTCAGACTTTAAAGCCCTGGTAGGCCTATTTGGTGGATATAAAATGGGTGAAATTACACAGAAAATACTGATTGTGTGCCAAATTATTGTTGAACCAGGGAACAGTGAATTGAAAAAACTTTGTATGACTGACACAAAACAAATTACTGTGTTTTTGTTACAATTAAGCCTTTAACTCATTTTTGGTTTTCAAAATACTCTTATAGTATATAGTTCTACCAGAGAGCTGTTGTTGTATGGACGCCGGAGCATAGGCGTGGACGTGGAGGTCCTCCATGAGAAGCAAACATAGGCATCAAGGTCAATATGATTGGGAACACGTAGTTTGTGGGAAAATAACCCAATTCAGGAAATGATACTTTGCACATAGTTACATTTGCACATAGAAAGGAAGACGAGCCAAGTTACATTACCAGACTCGACTCTTTAAAAGTCCGGCGACCCTGCAAAATACTTTGGAGACTTAAAATAAAATAATTAAGAAACAGGGCTCTAAACACTCTTATATAGTAAAATTCATCATCATCGATCTAATTAATCGCTGTGATGTACCATAGAAAATACTACTTCAATATGCCGAAACCTAATTCTATCTTTGCACTCTTTTTCTCATACTTCTCAAATTATAATAAAGGCATCACGCACTTGAGTCGAGTATTATAGGTAATTCAGATGTTTGTGAGCAGAGACACAGGTATCTTACATCTTGAAAATAAAAACATAATTGTCTTTGATGTATTTACTTTACTTTACCACTTCGTGTGCTGAAAACAAATCTTATCTTTACACGCGTTTTCTTATACTTCTGAAATTAGGCCTATAATAAAACGCGCACTCGAGTCGTGTATTATAGGTATTTCAGATGTTTGTGGGCGGAGATTTTAATAAGATGTACTCTGGCTCTACAACGTTCTTTCGTTAAAACCTGGTTCAATTATGCAGTTCCTTTCAACAGTTTTCAGGCATCTTATTGACTTGTGAAATTACATTGCGGACGAAAAGTGAGGGGGACCAATCCCCTCATTAATATGTGGCGGACGTGTACCCTGTCCCCATGATCAGCGCCCATGCCCTACGGGGTGAGTCTAAAGACTGATCAATTAATATCATGAGAAGTTGGCGTAATATGAAACGCGGATCAATTTGAGTTTAAGTTCACCAGCATCAGATACTAAAACAATAATATATTTTGTTATTATAATTATCATTATTATTTTTATTTTATTTATTTATTTTTTAAATGGTAATCCTGGTGCCTAAAGCGGACGTTTGAAATATTTGAATACAACATCGCTCCCGACGCCCTTCCCTCACCTCTTTTTTGTATTAGTTTCCTAGCTAAATGTGTGCGCTATTAATTTTCTCTGACGGGTACTGAGGCATTATAAATTCAGTTGTACTATAATAATAATAATATGTCGCTCTTATATATTAAAGAAAAATAAAATAATGCTGATTTTTAAGCAAATACGCCTATAAATTGTGCCTGTGGGGAAAATATTCGAGTGAGGTATTCTCTCTTCATATAAATAAAAAAATATAAATATAAATTTCGAAATATCTTACCATATCCGAAAGTCATAATATAATACAGCCTAAGGATCCCAGTCAATTACTTTTGCCTATGTAAAACAGTGAGGTTTGAAAGATCTACGATTTCCACCAGTGTCATATTAGCTGTGGAATTCTTCATTTATCATTTTTCAGTTGATGGCTGTACATGTTGCCTACTTTTAAAGTTACACGATACTGCCTCTGATAAGCCAATAAACTATAATTTTTGGATTGCTTTATAGGCAAGTGGAAATTAGAACGTTTGCTTATTAACAGACGCATAAATGACACGATAGCCGGGAGATAGACATAAAAAGGGTCTAATTATCTAAGTGAAATTTTGATTGAAAGCCACACTGAAATGTTTTATGGTGAAAAAATTTTGTTGTTTTCAATGTGATTGTAAAAACGGTCATTCACTGCTTTTGTAATTTTGTAATAATTGAATTTTGGTGTTTAGTAAATTGATTGTTTATTATTATAAACTTTAATTTAATGTTTGTCCATTTCCGTAACCTTTTGTACAGTATGTTATTGTTATATTTATATATTTACTATTGCATACCGTATATCATCGCAATTCAGCTTTGCTGCAAAGATGTATTTTTATTTAAATTTAATTCAATTAACTGTTTATTTTTTTTATACTGATTTATGCTCAAATTAAGTTTGCTGATTATCGGACGTTTGACCGCATTTGGACCGCAGGACGCACTGCCCAC